GCGCTCGCCTCCCTGCTGGCTGCGTCACCCTTCTGCAGCAGGCCCTGCTCTGGCATGGATAACATAAGGGTCTCTGCAGCTCCTGTGTGTGACTCAGACCCCTTCATCTTACTGAACTGGTCTAGCCCGTGGTCTGACTCTTTGGGCCACCCAGGTCTCAGCTTTACCTGCCTTTGAGGTCAACTCCATCATAAGTATACTCTATCAAGTATTTGACTAAGGGCTGAACTATTCAAACCTGCTCTGTACTTCTTGGTTTCTAAACCTTCGTTTGCTGTTCCACCCTCCTGGAATGCCTTTCCATCCTCAAGTATCATCAAAGTCCTACACATTTTTCAAGATTCAGACTAAATGCCTTCTGTCTCAAGGGCCTTCCCTCCGAGCCCTCACAATACTTTCCTTGCAGCTCTCTGGCGCTCTGATCACACTCTTGGTGGAGAAGGAGCAGGAACCTGATTGGAGGACAGTGCACTTGCTTCAGCTCTGTGACCAAAAGGTGTGTGGCCTTGACTGTGTCTCTCGATCTCCTTGAGTCTCAGCTTCCTCATTTGTCAACATGATGGGTTTGACCATGTAGCTTCTAAGGAGCCTTCTATTTAAAACCCAGTGACTATAATTACACAATTATGAGATATATAATTATAACCCTATGATTATAAATCAGAGCCTACATGTTATCTCCCCTAAAACCTGCTACCTTCTTTAGGGCAAGACTGGTACCTTATCTAAACTGTTTTTCTTTTTGGTTCAAGACTATCTTACACACAGTATGTACTGAATATATCCTTGCTAAATGAGAGAATGGATGACAAAAAGCTTGCTAAAATTTGATCTCACCTCTTATATTGATTTAAGATGTGATATGAGAAAGAGCTGATATGTACTGTTCATTTAATAACTGTTCGCTACCTCCTTTTGTTCATACACAGTGCTTGCTTTGGCTAAAAAGTTATGTACTAGAGAGCAAATTTTGATTAAAAGGAAGGTGATCTCTCCCATCCTTCTCTGATTGTCTCTTTCTGTGTATATGTGGAACTTTGTTTTTCTAAATAAATTGTATAAGTATTAATTTATCAGAGGGGATATTCTTCATCTGCTGCCTTCTGTCACAAAAGAAGCATGCTTTTGATTTTTGAAGAGATGCCCAGTGCTTCTATACAACCCCATGGTTACTGGAGCTCTCTGAACTGGTTGGCTGCATAGAGCAGGAGATCACCCATGTGATGTGATTTCAGAGATACCAGTGGGGCTACCATCTGCTTACCCATTGGTTGTTGTGAAAGAATTACTCCTTTGGTTCAAGAAGGCTTTGTATCTTCGAGAGTAACCTGGGAAAACGGTATACCTTAAATTATCACTGATGATCCTGTAGACCATCATCATTCAACCCAAGGACATGCTAGAAAATCCAGGTTCAATAAGAGGCTGATAGGTGTTACATAAAAATAGAGTCTCCGTGATGAAAAAATTGGGGCAGCCACAATAAGTAAAATTAAACAGGATTTTTCAGAACTTATAATAGGCCAATGGGCAAGGGGAATGCAGTAGTCACATTTCCCAAATTTATATGACCACAGAACCAGAACCTTCTCCACTATTTTATCATGTATGTTATAAATTAAGTGTCCCAAGGATCTAAATTTTCACTGCATGTATTCTGTAGAAAGCTGCTTTCAAGGGCCATGAGAGCTAGCCCAACGCCAATCTCAAAGAGGCAGGCAGGGCTGAGGTGTGTACAAAGATGTATCAAAGACAGGCTGCTGCCTCCTGCAGCTCAGCCAAACTCCACATGGCAGGTGGAGGCACTGAACAGGTGGCGGAGGATCCCACTTCTGCCCCAGCCTCGGGTCTCACCTTTCCTTTCACAAAGCTGCAGCTGATTTGGCTTTGATTGGCGGGCCTCACACTTCCACTGGGTGACCTTGAGGGTTCAGAGAAAGCTGTGCTATTTCACCAGTGCACTTGCTGAATGCTGGGGCTTGCACTCAGCCCAACAGAGGAGAGCTGTGAGGATCCTGACCCCAGGACTTGAGAAGGCTATGCCCATCAGATGCCAAAATGACTGCTTAGCTCACGGAATAAATTTAGGCTGCTCTGCTCAGGGAAGTGGTCTCGATGTTTGGGGTGGAATGACTGGTAATCAGTAAAACTTATTTCTTGATAATGCTGAGTTAAAAACAGATGATCATTATTTCCCCTCGACTTTCCAAAAGTTTCCTGGGTGTCTGTATACAAAGTTCCTAAGATAAACAGGTTGACCACAAACCTTTAAAAGAAAGGTTAAATCCAAGCTTCTTACACGAGTGGGCTGTCATGTAGGAACTGCAGAAAAGTCCCTGTGATGGACACTGGAGGAAGAAAGGAAAGTGAGGAGTAACAAGGATGCCAGTTCCAGCTGAGAAGCCCTGACCTGCCTTGAGAGGCCCCAGCCTGGGCTCTCCTGCTCCTGTCATACGAGAAGGAGGAAGCACAGTCAGAGGAGAGGCTGCAGGTGCTGAGAAGCCTTCCTAGAGTGGGCACGGTGTCCAGGCTTTCTGGGTCCCTCAGCTGCTGCAACCTGGGGCACCCTCCCCTCACAGCCACACCCCATCCTGTCCTCCTCCCCCCGCCCCACGACTCCCCAGCTCTCTGTTCTGCTCAGTCCCTCTCTCACTGGCGCCTCTGCTCCCACCGTGCACTCTCCCCGGCGTGTCCTGGGCCTCAGTCCTCACCTCCCCGCTGGGCAGCGAGCTCTGCAGACGCAGGGGACACACCTTCTGGTCGTCGCTACAGCCCAAGTCAGTAGCACACAGCAGGGTCAGAGGTTACTGCCAAGCCCACGGCGCCTCCACTGCTTTTGAATTCACTTTGCTTGTTCCTCTTGCTACTCATTCAGCATCAGGACGCCTTTGGCATTGCCCCACTATTTTTTTTCCGTACACACTGTGATCTCACTCCTCCTCACTAGACTGCAAGCATACGAGGAGCACCCTTGTTCCCTGTCGAGGTGTCTTGTCCATCCTGTGGGGTCCCAACCTGGCAGATGTGAGCAACTAACCACAGTCCACTGGGAGTGAAGTGCCAGGTCCCACTCAGCCACTGGGGGTCTGTAGCAGGCGTATCTGGTTCCTCCAGGTTTAGCAAGGACCAGGGAGCCGAGGATGAAGCCCATTTTCTTCTTCCTCCACCCCTAGCCCCTTTGTCCTTGCTTCAGAGGCTGGAGGACCCACAAAGGGGGACAAGGCGGCGAACCGGTGGTTAGGGGAGTGGCAGGACAGTGGTCCGGGCGGCAGAGGGGCTGAAGATGCAGAAGTTCTTCTCGCCTGTCCTTGCAGCAACCCAGCAGGGGGCTAATGAGAGCTGAGGTGTGAGGCAGGCGCTCGCGCCGCAATTACAGCTGCTCGGCTGCTGACAGCACGCGGGGTGGGGCCGCTGACATCCGCTCCCTGCGCCCCGCGGCTCCCTGCCCTCCTAATGAGGCTATTACCGCTGCAGGCCTCCAGGCCCTCCCAGCCCTCCGCCTTCCCACTTGTGGGTGCAGGCAGCCCTGGGCTCTCTACAAGGAGGGTTGTCTAAGGATGGCCCCTGTCACCTATGGGAGGAAGTGCCCCATCCGCTCACCTGGCTTTTCTGCTCACAGCCTTCCCTGGGTCCTTCCAGAAGGGGGACAAGGAAACAGAGGGTCACTGTGGTGTCCTCAGCACAGCGACCTCCATCAGCCCGGGCTCACACGGGTGCCCCCTTGCCTGAAGCACGCCGGTGACCCCTGACTCATGCTGGCTGCTCTAGAGCTCTCAGCTCAAGAGGTGCTGCTTTAGGAGGCTTCACCCGGCTTCCCTTGACTCTCGGCTCTAACCCAGAACCTTGCCGGGCTCTCTCCCTCAGGCCTCTCACCCCACGCTGTAATGTTCCCTCCCCTTTGTTTTCTCAGTCTCACTGTCATCCCCTCCAGCTCTTGGGTATCTCGGTTCCCATCTTGGTGTCTGGCAGTGTCGGGTTCTGCAAAAGTTGTTGAATAATGAAACAAACGAACTAAATAGTTGAATTCACCTCTCAGCTCAGCGCTGAGAAGCAGGATCTGGAAGGGCCAAGGAGCCCATCCCCACCACACCCCCAGAGGTCTGGCAGTGCTCAGCATCCTTCCTGGGACGGGTTGGAAGCTCTATAGATATCACAGCTCTTCCACTCGGCTCCCACCTCAATTCAGGCAGCAGCACTGATCACTTTGTTAGAAAACCAGAATGTCTTCAGAACACACCTGCTACTGAGTACGAATGTATTTTAAAGTGTGCTTGCAAGACTTTTTTAAAAAGTGTATTCCTTCTTGAATCACATTTGATCCACAAACTGGATAAAGACCTTTGCACTTTTACCAACACCAGGCTTATCCCCACCTCCAAGTGCTTCTCTTTCTCCCTTCTGGGCTCAAGTCAGTTCCTGGAGGTACAAACCACCCCCCCAACCCTGGCATCTTCCCCCTCCCCATACCTGATGCTCTTTCTCCCTCCCTGCCTCCCACTCCAGCTCATATATTCCATCTTTTTCCCTAGCAGGGATTATTCGGATTGAATTTATTACACAGTAAGAGTAATAAGAAGGCACAGTGATTTCAGTCTGGGAAGGGAGGGAGATTTCTGGCTGTTGGTGGGGGGCAATGATGCTTCCTGATGCCCCATATGAAGCCTGCAACTTCCTCCTTTTCTCTGTACCCCACCCCCTGGCTGTGATCAGCAGAAAGAAACTGATGCTAAAGCCCACAGCCTCCGCCCAGCCCCTTCTTGGAACAAAGATGTGGTCGGCAGGCAGGAAGCAGTGTGAGTGGTCTACAGGCGCATCCACCTGCCCACAGGCTCTGTCCTCAAAACGCCCGCCGCGCTCCACCTCTCAGAACAGCTGGCCCACGTGTCACAGCCAATTAGGCTTTGGAGGGAGTGAGAGGGAAAGAAATGACACCATATACTGACCCCTGCTGTCACGGGGCAGATGTGGAGGCCAGCACGCTTCCCCGCTCGGCCACGCCGCTAATTAATCACCTCCGCCGCCGAGTCGTGACAGCGCTTTGCGAGGAGCGAAGTGCACGTGGAGGCCGGGCCGGGCGCCTGCCGGGCGGGATGCGGAGCCGGCGCTCTGGGCACCCAGCCGCCCCCCTCTCTGCTGCCCTGGCAGGCCTGCGGCTGGCAAGTTTTCAGGAAGCTGTTGGGGTTAAAAGGAAGGGTGGGAATGAGGGAGGAAACTTTTGAAAAGCCCTAAGTCAGTACAGAGAATGCAGGCTGGTGGGGGGGGGGGAGAGCTGGGCACCGAGGTTGGAGGAGCGAATGGGGCCGGAGCCGGTCGGAGAGCGGATCTTCTCTCCAGGCCCCGTGTTTGCAGAGTCTGTGGGATGCTCAGATTTGCCTGGGAAACAGACCCACCAGGAAGCCCTGGAGTGCTACCTTCTTCCTCCTTCTACCAGTTTCTTGGTGCACTCTCTTTGAAAGTGAAAGTGAAAGTCACCCAGTCGCTTCCAACTCTTTGCGAGCCCGTGGACTATACAGTCCATGGAATTCTCCAGGCTAGAATACTGGAGTGGGTAGCCTTTCCCTTCTCCAGAAATGGAACCCAGGCACTCTCTTTAGATCCTGTCCTTTCACCCTCAGACATTTAGAGAGCAGGCCAGGTCCTGCACCAAACCCTGAAAAATCTTAACTTCTGCACACCTTTTAAAACTTGACTTAGATTTTACTGCCTCTAGGATCTGGCTCCAATCTCTCAGGTCCATGCAGGTGGCTTTGTGGTGAGCGCCCTGCACTCTGAATTTTCCCAATCACAGCAGTCAAGGCACAAAGCTGTGATTGTCTACTTACTGAACCCAGGGACCCTGCCAGAGTGGCTCACCTTTGCCACTCCAGTCCCTAGGACTGTCTGGTGCCAGCTTTGCACTTCCCAATGTTTGTTGAGTAAATTCCTGAATAAGGAGTGAGCTAATGTTCAAGGAGCCCAAGGTCTGCTGGGGAGGTAAGCACTGTAGCCTGGTCGAGCCTGAGGTGTCAGGTAGCAGGGCACGAGGTGAGCGCTGAGGTCAGAGAAGAGGCCCACCAGCTGGGTTCCAACTGCAAGGCACGTAAGTGACCTTTGTTTGGTTTTTACAACTGCTTTTGTGGAAGTCTTGGGTCAAGTCTGTTCCATTTCTATGAAAGCTCAAAGTAAATGGCCAAAGCAGTCAGATCAATAGTTTATTCTTGAAAATCCCCTCCTTCTTCAAGATAAGCTTGTCCTGATCACTCATAATCTTGAAACAGGCCCGGCCTTTACCAGGTGACATGAAATACCACATGGGAACATGTTATGTGCATCCATTTGGATATAGATCATCAAATATTCTTTTGTTGTAATTTTAAAACTCATGAGTCATGTATGCCTATCAGATCAAGCCCCGGACGCTTAATCCTTAGTGTGTGGAAAGGAAGCTTTTGGGCATCCAGCCTCAATGACAATTTCAATGTCATCTCTTGCCCTCTCTCCCCAAACACAGCTTTGCAAGCATTTCCTCTGCTGAGGAAGCTCTTTGCCTTTGGTCTCTGCATGTGATAAATGTGAGTTCTCTTTAAGACTCCCCTGAAGCTGTCTATCCTCATACTTCCTTTCTATCTCTTGTATTGGCTGCACTGCAGGTCACGTGGGATCTTAGTTCCCCAACCAGGGTTCAAACCTGTGCCCCCTGCATTGAGAGCGCAGAGTTCTAACCACCAGGCCAGCACCCAGACTTCCTCTGTAGAAGAGAGCCTAACATGAAAGCTGGGAAGGTCAGTTACAGAAATCATTCAGCACGGTCAGTTTCCTTCTATTATAGGAGAGCAGCTGAGAGTGAGTTGGAAGATTTTGACAGAATTCCCTTTAATTTTTTGATTGGTTAAGTGGATAAAAGAATCTACAAAGAGACAAGTGAGGGAACTTTCAACCTCTTTCTCAATAACCATGGAAATAATAGTTGATTTTGTTCAGTCATTCATTCTTTCATAAAGACTTAGAAATATCTATGGCTCTGAAAGAATAGGAAAATTCTTGGAAAAGAGATTATTTTTACAAGAAGTCTCTTAACCAAATGTTTAGATCTTGGGATACACCACAGTATCTGTGTTTCTAGAGAAATATCTAAGAAAAATAAACAAAAACAATTTGTAAAAATGTGGTTTAAAAGTTTTAACAATTGATAATTTACAATGTTGTAAACTGAAATTTGTAGCTTAAAAGCTGTGTGGGGAGGAAGTGTCTTAATTAAGCAAATGGAGTCATGCATAGGAGTGGCTGCTGTAGTTTATAAATTGTCTATAATATATATAATACTATGAAAAGTGAAATTGCTCAGTTGTGTCTGACTCTTTGCAACCCCATGGAATTCTCCAGGCTAGATTACTGGAGTGGGTAGAATTTCCCTTTTCCAGCGGATCTTCCCAACCCAGGGATCAAACTAGGGTCTCTTGCAATGCAGGCAGATTCTTTACCAGCTGAGCCACAAAGGAAGCCCAAGAATACTGGAGTGGGTAGCCTATCCCTTCTCCAGCAGATCTTCCCAACTCAGGGATCGAACCGGGGTCTCCTGCATTGCAGGTGGATTCTTTACCAACTGAGCTATCAGGGAAGCATATTTCACTTTCACTTAACTATTTACTTTCACTTAACTGTTTATCCATGGATTGTATAGTCCATGGGGTCACAAAGAGTCAGACATGACTGAGCAGCTTTCACTTAATATAATACTCAAATAGTTCATGAACGCGCTGTGACCTAGACCTGGAGCTCATTGCTTGCACGCCCTAGAGAGCTGGCATCTGGGAGACGAGAGGATACCTCTGGATCACATTCCAGGGCACTTGACCTTGCCCACCCTCTGCGGAGTACCCTGGGTCATGAACCTCAAATGGCAATGCTTATACTGGAAAGAATATGTACCTGAAAGTCAGGCTGGTGTTGAATCCAAGTGTGCCATCTTAATTTGTGTGCCTTTGAGCCACATTCTTTTATTTGGCTCATGTTGGGTTGGCCAAGAAGTTTGTTTGGGTTTTTGCATTTCCTTATGGGAATATCTGAACCGTCTTTTTGGCCAACCCCAGGACTTCTGAGGCACACACTCACTCCTGCACTTACACCATATTCTTACATTTATATCCTGAATTAAAAATAGGGAGTCAGGTACTCTGCTAGTACTCGGGATACGAGTCGTGCTCTCTGACACAGAGTTCTCATTTTGGTGACAAGGGCTGTTTAATTCTTCCAGGGGTTGGTGCCGGGGCCCTCCTTTGTAAAACAAGAATGATAATGCTTATCTCAAAGCCACCCCATCCCTTGTTTGGACAGGGCATCAACCAAACTGTGTGCATTTTACTTTGACTTCTGACACTTTTACTGGACGTACGTCATGCTGTAAATTCCAGTTTTTGACATTTATAATAAAGTTGTGATGAGGGACAAATGGACCAGTGTTTGCTCTTTCTGAAATTAATCTAACCAGAAGGAGCTGATCAGTTAACATTTTTCTTCTTCCTTTTTCAAATGTTATATTTGTTTCTTTGTTTTTGCTTTTCCTTGTACTTGATGCCTAGCACTACTGGAGATGTAGACAAATGTTTTCACATTTCGTATTTTCTTCCTTGGGATATATACTTGAGTTTGAGCAAGCTCTGGGAAATGGTGAAAGACAGGGAAGCCTGGTGTGCTGCATGCAGTCCATGGGGTTGCAAAGAGTTGGACACAAATAAGCGACTGAACAACAAATGTGTATAAGTGGTGAGTGAATGTGTGAGCATGCGTGTATATGGGACTTTGTATATAAATAAAATATGTTGAGTATGCATATGCCCAAGTGTATGTATGTGGACATGTGTGCGGGTGAGTGTGTGTGCATGAAGGTGTATGTGTGGGTGTAGATTTATGTGAAAGTGTATATATGAGTGAGTATGCATATGCACAAGTGTATGTATGTAGACATGTGTGTGGGTGAGTGTGTGTGCATGAAGGTGTATGTGTGGGTATAGATTTATGTGAAAGTGTATATATGAGTATATATGCCTATGTGTAGGTGTGTATGTTTGTGAATGCATATGTGTAAGTGTGTATGCAAAATGAGTGTGAGTGGAAGTGAGAGTGTGTATGCATTAGTATGCACATGTGTGTGTGAGTGCGCGTCTAAGCATGTGAGTGTGTGTGTCTGTGAGTATGTGTGTATCTGTATCTGTGGGTATCTGTGACTATGTGAGCATGTGAGTATCTGTGGGTATGTGTGAGGCTGTATGTATGTGTGTGTCTGTGAAGGCACCACGATGGCTTCTTAACTGAACAGACTCTATAAAGAGTCTCTATAAAGACCAGTTGTCTGCTCGTGAGAGCAAAAAGACAGGAGTCTTAGTATAAAGTTAAACGTAGTCAGGCATTCTGTTCCTCAGCACATCTCTGAAGGTTTCTTTTTGGTACATTTTTCTCTAACTAACCAGCCTTTAAATATGAAGTCAAAGTAAACGCATTGTTTTTAAATGGAGGGAAAATTGGTCTGAAAAAAGAATGGAAAACTATCTCCCCCAAATCAGAAAGCAGCAGGGGTTGAAAAACAAACAAAAAGAAAACCACCTGAGAGTCTGAACCTTGTTAGTGAAGTGTGAACTGAGCAGAACGGACTCACTTCAGCCGCTTCCGGGGGGCAGCCTGCAGCTTGCGCATTGTTCAGCAGTGGGCAAGGACGGCGCATGCTTCAGGACTGCCCTCCCTAGCCCTTCAGCACCTTCCAGCGAGACGGCCCGAGGTTTCCGGTGTGAAAGGCGAAGCTGCCACCTTGCGGTCAGACCCAGAACTGCAGCTCCTCTGCGGCCGTCCAGAGGCAGTCGCTCCCCGGCTGAGAGCGCAGGGCAGGGCCTGAGGCGAACTTAAGGCTGCTTAAGCAGCTGCGTCACAAGACCTGCGCCTGCCCCCGCGACATATATCCTATTATATAGATATATATAACTGGATATAGACATATTCAATTCAGTCGCTCAGTCGTCTCTGACTCTTTGTGACCCCATGGACTGCAGCACCACAGGCTTCCATCTCCATCGCCAACTCCCGAGTCCACTCAAACTAATGTCCATCAAGTTGGTGATGCCATCCAACCATCCCATTCTCTGTCGTCCCCGTCTCCTCCTGTCTTCAGTGTTTTCCTTCAATCCTTTCCAATCAGAGTCTTTTTCAGTGAGTCAGTTCTTCACATCAGGTGGCCAAAGTGCTGGAGTTTCAGCTTCAGCATCAGTCCTTCCAAGGAACACCCAGGACTGATCTCCTTTAGGATGGACTGGTTGGATCTCCTTGCAGTCCAAGGAACTCTCAAGAGTCTTCTCCAACACCACAGTTCAAAAGCATCAATTCTTCAGGGCTCAGCTTTCTTTATAGTCCTACTCTCACGTCCATACATGACCACTGGAGAAACCATAGCTTTGACTAGATGGACCTTTGTCAGCAAACTAATGTCTCAGCTGTCTAAATTGGTCATTGCTTTTCTTGCAAGGAGCAAGTGTCTTTTAATTTCATGGCTGCAGTCACCATCTGCAGTGATTTTGGAGCCCAAGAAAATAATGTCTCTCACTGTTTTTGTTGTTCCCCATCTATTTGCCATGAAGTGATGGGACTGGATGCCATGATCTTAGGTTTTTGAATGTTGAGTTTTAAAGCCAGCTTTTTCACTCTCCTGTTTCACTTTCATCAAGAGGCTCTTTAGTTCTTCTTCACTTTTCTGCCATAAAGGTGGTGTCATCTGCATATCTGAGATTACTGATATTTCTCCTGGCAATCTTGATTCCAGCTTGTGCTTCATCCAGCCCAGCATTTCTCATGATGTACTCTGCATAAAAGTTAAATAAGCAGGGTGACAATATACAGCCTTGATGTACTCCTTTCCTGATTCAGAACCAGCCCGTTGTTCCATGTTCAGTTCTAACTGTTGCTTCCCGACCTGCATACAGATTTCTCAGGAGGCAGGTAAGGTGGTCTGGTATTCCCATCTCTTTCAGAATTTTCCACAGTTTGTTGTGATCCACACAGTCAAATGCTTTGGCGTAGTCAATAAAACAGAAATAGATGTTTTTCTGGAACTCTTGCTTTTTTGGTGATCCAACAGATGTTGGAAATTTGATCTCTGGTTCCTCTACCTTTTCTAAATCCAGCTTGAACATCTGGAAGTTCTTGGTTCACGTATTGTTGAAGCCCAGCTTGGAGAATTTTGAGTATTACTTTGCTAGCATGTGAGATGAGTGCAATTGTGTGGTAGTTTGAACATTCTTTGGCATTGCCTTTCTTTGGATTGGAATTGTATATATATATATATATGTATGTATTTAAGGTTCATTTCCCTTATAGATTATAACAAAATATTGAGCAGAGTTCCCTGTGCTATACAGTCAGTCCTTGTTGGTTACCTACCTTATTAATATATATAGTAGTGTTTATGTTAATCCCAAACTCCTAATTTATCCTTCTCTCCCCTCCCCTATTTGGAACCTGGCAACTACTTAGTAAAGATTAGCCACTGTGATTATCCATGAAGACACTTTGTCACTTTCAAGGGTAATAGTATAATCTTCCTAGAAACTCTATGATTAGAAAATAATATTATCTCTATCATTAACAAATGAGAAATGAAAGCTTTGAAAGGCTAGCCACCCTGGTTAGAGTCTGGTTAAACTGTGACTCCAACTCCAGTTTGACTCCCCAGATAAGGCTATCAAGCCAACCTATTTTTAAGGAAAATATAAGACATGGAAAGATGTTCATAATATATTTTTTATGTGAAAAGTCAAGAATTACAACATCATGTTGTAGTGTAATCACATTCTGTGGGAAAAGAAAGTGTGTGTCCATGCGCTGTGTCATAGACAGAAGGGTGTAGACTGTGAGTGTGGAGTGAAGGGTTTAAAAGCAAGATCTAAATTCTGGATCTAAACTCTGGCTCAGCTGTCTCTAGCCTTGTTGAGGAAGTGCAGACTAGAGCCGGCTCTCTATACTTCAGTGGCAGTCCTACCCAACAGGGTGGTCCTGAGGATTAAGTCAGATGGGACAGGAGAGCCCCTGACGTAGGGTGTGGCACTCAGCACCCACTCTGCACACATTGGCTGTTATTCTAGATAGAAAAGAAAACTTCACAAGATGATATCAAGGTCACGCGACTATGAGGGACTTTTCTTCCTTGGTTTTAGCTATACTTACAAAACGAGTCTTTTGTTTATAATGTGCAATAAAGGAGAGAAAGCAGTTTAAAAGAATGCAGGTAGAGCCGGAGGGTTGGAAGCGAACTGTGGTTCAGGAACTGGCAGAAGACCAGTTGGAGGCTGGTAATGAGTCAGAGGAGAAGCTCTGCATGTTCATCCTTCAGGTTTCAACCAGAACTGCGGTTCTGGTACAGATAAGGCTTGTGCCTATGACAGGGCAGTAGAGACAGCCAGCTGTCCTCAGAATCTGCCTTTCTCCTCCTGCCTGAACAACCCCTACCCTCCAGCTGGGCTCATGGCCACCCAGGATGTAGACTACACTTCCCGGCTTTCCCTGTGGCCAGGCGTGACCGATAAGCACATTGGTGTCACTTCTGGAGAGCGTCTTTGAAGGCAGAAGACCTTGGCTCTGCCTCCCTCCTGTGGCTGAAGCTGCTCTTGTGGTTGCAGCTGAAGGGGCCACTTTGAACTCTAGAGAGGACCCCACATCACTAACAGAGCAGTGACAGGAAGAACCCTTGTCTCTGATGTCACGAGCTTCTGTTCCAGCCAGACCACTTGCTTTAGGACTTGGGTGATGTAAGAGAAGTAAATTTCTGCCTCATTTTAGCCATAATTATTTGGGATTTTCTGTCATTCACAGCTCATTGGTTTGATCTGGGGGCTACCTCTGAGGACACACGGCAACATCAGGAGACATTTTTAGTTGTAACAACTGGAGGGTTGTTCCTGGTCTCATAGAGACCAAGAAAGCTGCTAGCTGGTGCACAGGCTGCCCTCCACAACAGAGGGGTATCCGGCTCTCATGTCATAGTGCTGAGGTTGAGAGACACTGCAGAACGTAATCTTAACAGATAGAAGGAGCTTCCTGAGAGCATATATCCACACTGGCTTTGTAACAAGACTTGACTCACTGGAGCACGGCCATGGGAGGTTGGTGTGTGCCATTGGAAATGCTGCCATGTTGATTACAGCAGGCACCAGGCTCAGGTGGACTGCATGTACATGGCTTTAGCTCTGCGCCAAACATCCAGGTGGTGTTCGCCTTGCTGAGGGGTCAGGGCACTCTGGCCGGGGGTCAGAAACGCTGCAGATGCAGTTATTCAGAGCAGCTCCTGCCCCTCCTAGTCCATAAACTTCAGTGACGCTGGTGCGTTGAAGTGGCAGGCCAGCGTCTCCCTTGAGGCTCTCTGTCTTTAGTTTTAGTCCAGGCAGTGGGCTCCTGGTCTACATAAGCACTGTCCCCTGTGCCCCGGAGGCTCGGTCTCCTTGGTGAATGGTAGCACAAAAGAGGACCAAGAGTTCTATTGCTTATCCCACTATTGGGGCAGGTAAGAGAAAAGACGTGCCCTTCCCAGAGATCTGGGTGGTTGAACTCCCAGAAATCCCTGGGGCCTTGACATCCCACCCAGAGAGGAAGTATCTCCCAGCCTGTATCTCAAGCATCAGCTACACACGTCATGAGTTGTGAAGTGTGAGAGTGAGTTACATCTGCTGAGCTTTTCCTCATTGATGGGCTAGTGACACTTCTCTTGGCCAGATGAAACTGGCAGAGAAAAACCAAGAAATATCTGACTTGCTGACAAGGAAAGATAAATACCATATACCACTTAAATGTGGAATCTAGAATATGATTTCAAATGAAGTGAAAGAGAAACAGACTCATAGACACAAAACAGAGACTTGTGGAGGGGTGGGGGAGGGACAGATTGGGAGTTTGGGGTTAACGGATGCAAACTATTACACACAGAATGGATAAACAACGAGGTCCTACTGGACAGCACAGGGAACTCTCTTCAATATCCTGTGATAAATCATAATGGAAAAGAATGTGAGGGAGAATATATATATGTGTGTACATATATATATAACTGAATCATTTTGTTGTATAGCCGAAATTTACAACATTGTGAACCAATATTCTTTTTTAAAAAGAAGTATATGACTTGAAGGTCAAAAAGCGGTTCCCTGCATAGGAGGAGACTTGGTTATCTGGGCTCAGAGGCATCCCCCCCGACTTTGCCTCCAATCCTTCTCCCAGTGGGACTGTGAGACCACGGGTATTTCACAGGGATGTTGTGGTTGCCCAGCTCGTCTGACTTACCTTGATGTACCAGGCCTCCACCTGGTCTGGCTGAGCATGGGTTGACTGAATTAGACTGGTCACGAGTCCCATTTCATTAAGCATGCCTAGATGTGGGCGATTTGATTCTGTCTCAGGTCCTGGGTGAGAAGGTGGAACCAGGCGGTCCATGAAGGGACACTGTGTTCCCTTGATGCAAGTGGTGCGTGGTGATGTTGGCAGCTTCCTGTTCAGTTGTACTTATGCTGAGGTTTTGAGGAACTCTTATTACAAATCTCTTGACAAGCTTGGTGATAGGATTTGTAATACAAGAGTTAAAATAATGGCAGTAACCAGGGTCAAACAGTGGGAGTTCTAAAGTGACAGAGACTGGATGGGGAAGAAAAGTCAAAGATCAGTAG